AGGGTACTAGAGAAAGCCAGGAGGAAGAGATTAAACATGATCCTGGTGGCACCCTTTTGGCCTTGTCAAATATGGCTTCCGATCCTTATGAAGATCTCCCGGGGCCAGTTCCTTCCCCTACCGAACCGATCAGATTTAATCCGCATCAACCTAGGTGCTTCATCACAATCTGAATTGCCTCCACCTGATGACTTGGAGGCTTCAGGCAGAGACCGGATGTTTTCTAAGGAGGTTAATGATGTTCTCCTGCACTCACACAAGCCTAACACTAGGAAATCCTACATGTATAAGTGGAGGCAATTTTCCCTCTGGTGTGGTAAGAAGGATGTTTCGCTGGGTGGTGCCCCTTTTCAAGTCATATTTGGTTAGTTATTACACCTGAAGGCTAAGAGCCTACCATTTTCTTCTTTGAAGGTTGACCTCGCTGCTGTCACAAAGGAACTGAGGAAGGATTAGTTTTCTCCCATCATTTGTCTTCGAGGTTTCTTAAGGGGTTAGGTAATCTCTGGCCACCCAGGGATCCTTTAGTGCCCCAATGGTCTCTCTCTGTTTTGTTAGCACTTTGAACCCCTTGCTACCTGTTTGGCAGAACTTTCTGTGAAGGTATGTTTCTCAGTAGCTGCTACCTCAGTCAGGAGGGTGAGTGAGCTAGCAGCTCTTCAGATCCCCCATTTTTGAAGTTCTTTCCTGAAAGGGTAGTCCTACACCCTGGTCTTAGGTTTCTTCCTAAGGTAGTTTCTAGGTTTCATTTATCCCAAAGTATTGTTTTACCCATATTATTTCCTGCACCAAGCTCTGAGAATGAGCACTTGTTGCATTCTTTAGACGTTAGGGGGGGCGTTATTATTTTACAGAGAACCCTGGTGTTTCGCAGGGATAGAGCCCTGTCTGTTTGTTTTAGTGGCCCTAAGAGAGGTAGGAGAGCATCATATCAGACCCCGTCCGGATGCAGTAGAAAAGAGCAAGAGTCCAGTAGCACCTTAAAGACTGACAAAATACGTGGCAGGGTATGATATTTCATGAGTCAGGACCATAAGGGAGTGTTATGGTAGGGCCAGATTGCCATGCCTGTTGAACATTCATGCCCACTTCACCAGGGCAATGGCTTCTTCTGCAGCTGTCCTGGATGGAGTACCTTTGACAGAGATCTGCAGAGCTGCCACCTGGTTATCGGCAGACACATTTGTACCCTACTGCGCTTTGGATCTGCAGGTGAGACTTGAGGCTCAAATGGGCAAGGCAGTTCTTCATTCACTGTTCAAGTGAGAAGAGCATGCTCCACTGCCTGGTGAGTAGCTTGCTAGAATCCCTATGTGGGACTGCACAGAAGATTGATGATGAAAACAAAGTTGCACTTACCTGTAACTGTTGTTCATCGAGTATCTGCTGTGCAGGTACACATAACTTCCCTCCTGTCCCACTGCATGCTCTAGCTTCAGAGGCTCTAGAGGTACTGAGGGTAGAGGGGCCAGTGCTGTGTCCTGCCCCACTGCATGCTCTGGCTTCAGAGGCTCTAGAGGTACTGAGGGTTGAGGGGCCACTGCTGCGCAAGAGCACGTGGTCCCTGGGCAGGAACATGCTTCTGACCGTGATGCACAGCACCCCCTGGAGGCTTTTAACTATAAGGACCTATCCAATGGCAGGCCTGCTCATGCGCAGTATCCATTGTGTGCCTGCACAGAAGATACTCAATGAACAATAGTTACAGGTAAGTGCAACTTTGTTTTCTGGTTGCCTAAGATAGTCAAATGTTTGAGCACAGCATGAGCGTTGTTCCATTGTCCGGCCATTTGGGCTAAGAATCAATGGTATTCTGATGCAGATAGCAAAATCTTTTACTGACTGTCTTCTAATTTCCCGGTTTAATTGTAGAACTACTTTGCGAAGCAAGTTTCCAAGAAGCTCTTCAGGAAAGTATCCCAGAATGCCAAGTACATGAATGGACTCCACTGTGGCTTCTGCGGTATTCAGTCATTGTGAAGAGCAGAGGAATTATCAAATCCAAAGGCTACATCTTACAAGCAAGAAGAATACCTTCATCTTAAGACTTTTGACAATGGCCTGGTTGTGAAAAGATCCTTTCTCTACAAGGCATTGCACCAAGGTGCAAATGAACAAATGTGTTATTATTAAGTGGTCAGTGATGCCCAAATTGTATAGTGGCATAGACATGTGACAGCATACTTGATCCATTGATTTCCTTTCTTTTCTTACGTGCTTTTTGTACAGAGACCAGCTTGCTCAAATGGGAAATAGTTGTTTTCACTAAACCAGAGTTTGTTAATTTAGAGATGATATATACATAAAATTATTTGAAATATTGTAATGAGTAATATAAACTTTAAAAAGTGTGGCTACCTATATTTTGATTGAAATATTTTTTATTTGTGAGGAGAAATAGACCTTGTTTTCATATTGTTGCTGCTGTGTTGGCAGAAGAAAATTTAACAAAGCTGGTGGAATGAGTAGCTTTTCAGCTTAAGCCTGTGGGATAAAACAAAATATATGCAAGCGGAATTGCTCAATATAGTCATGAATATATATTTGATGTTTTCCTCATTGTGGTAAAGATCATATGGCTCTTGTACTAAGGTTTAATTAACCTTTTTCTTCTGTTTCTCTGAGGCACATTCCTCTGGGAGGCATCCCTCATGTACTTGGTTTATGACCAAGAGAGCTGGTGGAAGAACACTGAAAACAAAAGTTTAACTTTATGAAAGTTTGGCTGTTATTGTTTTTTCTGGTGTTTTAGGAACCACAAATATTTTGCAAACCATAAAAGGCTAATGCTTGATATGTTTATATAAACCCCAGCATTGCATACACGATAGATTATCACACAATGAATTCATCTTACTTGGCGGTCACAAAGAGAACTGCGCTGTCTCCAAGCCAACCAGAGTCTGGCCAGAAAGTTACCATTATTCAGACAGCATGCTGTTTGAACAAGCTTAAACATTAATGCAGTAGTGAAGAATTTCCTGGGTGATGGCAAACTTTATCTGGAATTGATTTTTTTTACATTCATATTAGAACTAATGTGTGTCATAGAATGTGCAAACTTTTTTATTGTCCATAATATATCTTCACAGGTTAATCATTCTACTGGGTAAACACCTCATGCTTTTATTTATAAAGATTTTGAATAAGAGCATGTGGACGTGTTTCTGTGTAACGTATTTAAGCATGTGGCTGACATGTCAGTTGTCAGCTTTTACTTGGAGTTCACTTCCATCAAAATTATCGGGCATTACTCATTAATGATGCCTGAGGTTTATACAATAGTTGGTTGGGAACAGTCTTGGACAACTAATGAAATAGACTTCAGTGCAACATTTCTGACGGTTCTGGAGTAAACTTTGACTTGCTGCTTAAAGGATTTGAATAGTTCTAGAGAGAGTGATTAAATAATAGGATGTGTATATTGAATGTGCAGGAAAATGTTGTTTATATGCAAAATTAGGATTGATTACAAAACTTTGAACTTTGTAGAGAGGCAAAATTGTATGTAGTCCTGTTTCAAAATTAACTGATGGTTTTACTTAATCTTTTGTGCTTTTTACTAGTTTGAGATCATTATTGTTGATAAAGGATGCTTGCTTTTACAGAAATCTGCTGGTGACAGTTTGTCCTTTGCATTAGTGCATTCAGGTTCTGATCCAGTTTAGAAAAAAATAAACATTTTGGCCTGTTTTTTCTTGTTTGACTGACTGACTGTTCTTTGTGTCTTTTGATAGAAAAATGCAGTGAAATATTTTAAAAGTTGCTTTAAAACTCATAAATTATAGTAGCTGGAAAACAACCTTTCTCCCACTATTAAAGCAGAAAACCTTTTTCCTGCTGACCTGCTGACACGAAGAATGGGATCTTCCTTTAGTGAATCTTGCATCAGAGCCAGGGCTGTCCAACTCCATACCAATTTCCATTGCTACAGACTGGGACTGGGTAAAAGTCGAAGCTAGATAATTTTAAGCGGTGGATGTATGATTTTTGTCATGCAGTCTGTGGCCATGAACATGATGTGTGATTGTGTAGTGAATCTGGGGCAACCCAGTTTAAAAATCTGAGGATCCATGAGATCTGTGCTTCGGTCCAGAGCCACATCTTTGTTTCCTGCCATCCCTATAAAGCAAGTGGATCCATGTTTTTTCTGATGTAACGTGTAGCTATAAACATGATGAGTTTGCAGTGATTCAAAGCAGAAATCATGAGAATCCATGCTTTAAAACTGCATTTTTTGTGCCATGCATTATTTTTGTGGTGCTGACTATAGACTAAGACATGATCTACAATATGACAGTGGTTTTATTTTATTTCAATGTAAAAATCATAAGTTCATAAAGATCCATGCCCCAGATCCACATTTTTGTGCTATTGCTGCACCACAAAGTATTGGATCCGTGTTTTTCAAGGTTCAGTCTGTGGTCCTGACTAACATGTGATTTGATACTGGATTTGGGGGGATTCAGTGAAAAAAACTAGAGGATCCACATAGCTGGCTTTTACTTTTCCCCTCTTCAGACCTATTCCCGGAGCAAGTGAAATAGCCACAGCCTGCCCTCACCAAGGGGCAACCTTGAGACCAACAAAGTTTTATTCAGTGTAAGCTTTTGTTTGCAAAACACACTTCTTCAGACAAAACTGGAATAAAATCTCAAAAGCTAGTTACAGGGGGAAAGAGGGTGGGGGGAAGCATTAGGAGAGGTCACTCAGAGCCTAGATGCATATGCAGAGCTGAAATTAGACCAACAATACCAAATTTACATTCTAACTTTGGCATACAATGTGAATCTCCTCACGTCTGGTATTGTTTCCACAGAGTTGTTTTTTGAAAATAACACCCTGTCACTTTAAACATGTTTATAATGTCCAGCCACGGCTGCTAAGGCTTAACACTATTTACTTTTAGGATAAAGTTGGATGTTTATATAGACCGTTGGTCTAATATGTGAAGGTAATAATGTAGATGGCATTTTATAGTTGGGTTTTTATAAATAGAAAAAAACACATGGATATAAGTAAAGGTAAAGGTTTGCTGTTTGCATAGGCAGACTGTGACTGGTAGCAATTAGCAGTGGAGACTTTATGTTTGGCTTCTAGAATCCAGCTAATACATTGTGAAGACCTTGTGTTCTGTTATTAGAGAGTCAACATCAGATGTTTCCTTCAAGAGTTGATAAGTAGAAATGTGAGTTTTCAGTGTAATGGTTCATTATGAATTTTTAAAGCTACATTTATATTTGAATGTGTATTTTCTTTCTAGTGATAAGAATTGTGATTGCTACATGCTCAGATAAAGCAATTCTTGTGAAACGGATTTGTTTATATTGTGCAGTATCCATCGCGTGTGAGCGATAAGAGAATTTCTACAGAATTACTACATTACTCCTAGAACTAACACCAAAAAATGATGTCCTCATCATCATAGGGGACTGGAATGCTAAAGTAGGAAGTCAAAAGGTAACCGGAATAACAGACAAGTTTGGCCTTGGAAAGCAAAATGAAGCAGGGCAAAGGTTAACAGAGTTTTGTCAAGAGAACACACTGGTCATAGCGAACACCCTTTTCCAACAACCTAAGAGACGACTCTACACATGGACATCACCAGATGGGCAACACCGAAATCAGATTGACTATATAATTTGCAGTCAAAGATGGAGAAGCTCTATCCAGTCAGTAAAAACAAGACCTGGAGCTGACTGTGGCTCAGATCATGAGCTACTCATTGCAAAATTCAGACTTAAACTGAAGAAAATCGGGAAAACCACGAGGCCATTCAGGTTTGACCTAGATCGCATCCCTGATGAATATACAGTAGAGGTGAAGAATAGATTCAAGGGTCTGGATTTGATAGATAGAGTGCCTGAAGAACTATGGACGGAGGTTCGTGACATTGTACAGGAGGCAGCAATCACCACCATACCAAAGAAAAAGAAATGCAAGAAAGCAAAATGGCTTTCTGATGAGGCTTTACAAATAGCAGAGGAAAGAAGGAAAGCGAAAGGCAAAGGCGAAAAGGAAAGATTTACCCAACTGAACGCAGATTTCCAGAGAACAGCAAGGAGAGATAAGGAGGCCTTCCTGAATGAACAGTGCAAAGTAATAGAAGAAAACAATAGAATGGGAAGGACTAGAGATCTCTTCAAGAAAATTGGAGAAATCAAGGGAGCGTTCCATGCAAAGCTGGCCATGATAAAGGACAAAAACGGTAGGGACCTAACAGAAGCAGAAGAGATTAGGAAAAGATGGCAAGAATACACAGAAGAACTATACAAGAAAGACCTCGATGTCCTTGACAACCACGACGGTATAATCACTGACCTCGAGCCAGACATCCTGGAATGTGAAGTTAAATGGGCCTTAGAAAGCATTACTAACAACAAAGCTAGTGGAGGTGATGGTATCCCAGCTGAGCTATTCAAAGTCTTAGAAGAGGATGCTGTTAAAGTTCTGCACTCCATTTGCCAGCAAATTTGGAAAACGCAACAGTGGCCACAGGATTGGAAAAGATCAGTATACATTCCAATCCCAAAGAAGGGCAATGCCAAGGAATGTTCAAACTATCGCACAATTGCACTCATATCACACGCTAGCAAGGTCATGCTCAAGATCCTACAAGCTAGGCTTCAACAGTACGTGGATAGAGAACTACCAGAAGTACAAGCTGGGTTTCGAAGAGGTAGAGGAACGAGAGATCATATTGCCAACATTCGCTGGATTATGGAGAAAGCAAGAGAGTACCAGAAAAATATCTACTTCTGCTTCATTGACTATGCTAAAGCCTTTGACTGTGTGGATCACAACAAACTATGGCAGGTCCTTAAAGAGATGGGAGTACCAGACCACCTCACATGTCTCTTGAGAAACCTGTATAAGGGCCAAGAAGCGACAGTTAGAACCGGATACGGAACAACTGATTGGTTCAGCATAGGAAAAGGAGTACGACAAGGATGTATACTGTCACCTTGCTTATTTAATATATATGCAGAGTACATCATGCGAAATGCTGGCCTGGATGAATCACAAGCGGGAATTAAGATTGCTGGGGAAAAGATCAACAACCTCAGATATGCAGATGATACCACTCTAATGGCTGAAAGTGAAGAGGATCTAAAGAACCTCTTGCTCAGAGTAAAAGAGGAGAGCGCAAAAGTGGGCTTGAAGCTCAACATCAAAAAAACTAAGATCATGGAAGTAGTGACAGACTTCACGTTCCTGGGATCCCAGGTCACCGCAGACTGTGACAGCAGTCATGAAATTAAAAGACGCCTGCTCCTTGGGAGGAAAGCGATGGCGAACCTAAACAGCATGATAAAAAGTAGAGACATCACCCTGCCAACAAAAGTCCGCATGGTCAAAGCAATGGTATTCCCAGTAGTCATGTATGGCTGCGAGAGCTGGACTATAAGGAAGGCCGAGCGCCGAAGAATAGATTCTTTTGAACTATGGTGCTGGAGAAGGCACTTGAGAGTCCCTTGGACTGCAAGAAGAACAAATCAGTCAATCCTCAAAGAAATCAACCCTGACTGTTCCCTGGAAGGCCAGATAATGAAACTGAAGCTCAAATACTTTGGCCACCAAATGAGAAGGGAGCACTCACTGGAGAAGACCCTGATGCTGGGAAAGATTGAAGGTCAAAGAAGACGGGGACGGCAAAGGATGAGATGGTTAGACAGTGTCATCGATGCGACGAACATGAAGTTGCGCAAACTTCAGAGGACGGCGGAAGACCGGGAGGCCTGGCGGGAGCTGGTCCATGGGGTCGCAAAGAGTCGGACTCGACTGTGCGACTGAACAACAACAACTACAGTTTTGCACACACATCTTTATTGACCCTTTGTTATTTTTGTCATGGATGTTGTGTTTGGATTTCCCCCACTTAGAGGTTGGCATCTCTAGCTGAAATTGGAATGGGTGGTCAGTAGGATCAGAGGAAGACAACAAATTAGCACGTAAATGCAAGAGTTAACAAAGAGATGTGAGAATGAAATTGGAGTCCAACATCGCCCCACGAAAAATCAAGCTCAACCCTGCTGGGTGCTGCTGGACTCCAATTTCATTGGAATGCCTTTTATCTAAATAACTTTGGATCATCCTATGTACTTTAGGACTGAGTTTGCAAGTGGATGTTTGGGTGCATACATTGATCCATTTTGTACTTCATGAATTATGCTTTTTTATATTTTGGTAAGGATTTGTATATTGTTATGAACCCTTTGATGTTTTCTAAATACACACCCATTATTATAAGCATATTGAGTCATCTATGAGAAAATAATTTTGTTTAAATTTGAATAATATTCCTTTATTTGCTGTTTCTGTACACAGTGTTGTTATTTTGGTTATACTTTCTACTGTGTCTCCCTGTGTTGTTTTGTTATGGAGATTAGCAGGAAGAAAGAAAAACCTGAAGCTGAAATTCTTCCAAGTTTTCCATGTGGAGGTTTTTTAAAATGAATTTATCTTACTATTCACAGCAGACTATTAAGGCATCAGAACCAGGTTTGCTGACTTGGGAAGTTTCTGGAGTTTCCGTTTGAAGTGGGAGCGCAGAGAGGGGGGGGGGCATGGGGATGTGATGCCTAGGGCCTGGAGGCCACCCTCCAAAGCTGCCATTTCCTCCAGGGAGCTCTTCAGAGTACGTTGTAAGTCACTTGTTATTCTTGGAGAACTCCCGGCGTCAGGCTCGAGGTTGGTAATCCTAAAGAACAGATGCACATATCCGCTAAGTAACTGTTCAAGTGTTCGGGCAGTAACTGGGGAGTGATGCAGAAAATTACAGTAGCTTCTTGATTACTGAAAAACTGCATCTAACTTCTGGTCACAGGAACAGCTGCTACGATTTTGTGTGTGGCCCTCTTTCCGATATCAGTTTACATGTACAAAGACAATTAGACAATAATTCTAGAAACATTAAAGTCTGCCCTCTGAGAAAGAATGTGTTGTTACTGGACTGGACATAGCAGATGTTTTGTAACCACAGTGTAAATACAAGAACATATGTAGCTGTCCTGAAACTGACTACTAGGCAGTTCGCTGTTTCCTGCCGAATTCTCTCCAAAGAAGGCTCCCTGTACGCTCAGAGAAATTACCTTCAAAGTACGATCGCCTTTTTTTGCCCCCGGCTCTTTTCCGCTATCGAAAGAGGGCAGCGTTTCCGATCTTCATAGGGGAACCATAGAGCGAGGTAAGAGGTTTCCAGCCGGAGTGCTTAAGCAATGCTCAACGATCCGGCGGTGAAAGGGAAGCCGCGTTTCCGGTACATGAGTTGAGAAGATGGTAGGCACCAGGCGGGTAACGCGGCGAAGTCAACAGACGCCGTCTTCTGCGGGAGGCAACGATTCCTCGATGGTGAGAGACGTGAGAAACAGCAGGGGAAGGGCTCGGTTATCAGTTTGGTCAACCCGCCCTCCCCCATACACGCATACACTTGCATGCGGTGGTGGCCCAACGTTTGAGTTTCTTTTCCTCCACCACGATTTTCTGACCACGCTGGGAGCACGCGCATCACCTAGGCGCAAGGTCTACGCTGCGTGACCGGTGGGTGGTGACGCGTGAGGAGGAAACTCTTTTCTTTGGACGGCGTTGGGAGTGGGAACGAAATGCGTGCTAAGATTTCGGTGCATTGCACCCCTTGAGGAGCATGGGGATCTAGCAGAGTGCCTTTCTCAGCCTAGGTGCGTACTTTTGGCTTTGGGGAGGGGAAGGTGATGCATCTCAGAGGGAACGTTTTCTGCAGTGCTGTGTCATGGATATGTAGATGGGTTGGTTAGATTAGTAAATTTCTGTAAGCTTTAACAGGTGGGGACACTTTGCAATCTGAAGCACCGTTCTTGCCTTAATATATTGGATCTAGACTCTTCTCCTTGACCCCTGCCCTAGTGGGGTTTTGATCTTTTCAGTCAAAACTGTGTCCCACTTGTGAAAAGTTGTACCTGTCAGTTTCATGGCCATGTTTGCCGGTAATGTATTGCGATACTTGTGTTCTTGGCATTACTTATGTGAATGTTTCATAATACTTATATGTGTTCTAAAGTACTAGAGAGGGAGTTTGCTGTGTGAGAGTCTAATTATTGCAACTTGTGTGACATTTGTACATGATGTGCCTTGATATCCCCATAGTTAAATCAGACCTAAGGAACAGACTATACAAAATGATGCCTTTGCATTTTTGGTTACTGCTTCTAGACTGGGTTTACTCTAACAGCCTGAACTGGGATTGAATAAAGATTCTGACCAGATATGTGTTTAAATGATTCTTTAAGAATAAGTCAGTCTGCATTAAATTGGATGTATACGGAAATTAGCTAGTAGCTATTTATGGTGTAGTTCTATTGTTCTTAGTGGTGCTGTTCAGAAATCATGGATATTGATTTACATAATTGTCAATCACTGAACCGCCTGTCAAGGTATGATACTTTATGGAAGCTCCTACAATGCAGTGTGCTTGAGTGAGTGCACACTAACTTTGCCTGCACTGTTTCATATGTGTTGCTAGTAATTTTAAATATGGTCTCTGTCGCTGATAAACTTTGAATCTTTTAGTGATGGTGCCATCTCATTTGAAAATATAAGTATGGTTCTTTAAATTCATAATGCTGTCTTACTCTGTCTTGATAATGTCCCTTCATTTTAATTTTTTACATGCTCTTTTCGTGTTCTTGAGCTTGGTGAGATGGAATGTCTTGTAGTGGAAGTATCTGAGGTCCATTGGTGTGTCTGTCAGTTATTAATTGTCTTCATGTCAAGAAGAACAGATCATTCTAGGGGAATCAATGTTCATTTCAGTTTACAAAAATAAGCCTCAAAATGATTTGCTTTATCCGTTCAGTAGATGTCTATGGAGTAATGTGGTTGCTATTATCAAAAACATATTAAGGTTTTAACATTTTGCCTTAGTCCAGCAGTGTAGATTCTAGGAAGTAAGGTTCTTTTAAAAGCAGGAGTGTATCAAATCCTGGGTGAGTTACTTTAATGCTCTAATAGGCAAACTGGAACAAAAATTATATTCTCACAGTAAAGACTGATGTAATATTGTTTCATTTGTACAACAGATGGTTGCTTTAAATAAAATTACTTTAGTTTTGAAATCTAAATCAATTTGAAATCTAAAGTTTCTTATTTGGTATTTATAGCAAAGCTTCTTCATTTTGTGATTCAATATCAGAGAAAATAATTTCTGCATGATAACTATGACATCTTCTCGTTCTTACAGTGTCCCTCAATGGAAGGCAGCACATCTGTGAGGGCAACTAGAAGCAAAAGTAAACTGAATTCCCACCCAAATATCATTTCTGAATCTCGTTCTGAGAAAATGAAGGAGCCTAAAACAAAACCAGATATTGAAGAGCCTTTGGAGGTGCAAGCAACTCGGAATAGGAGTGAAGCTACACATTTAGCAGACTCAGTTGCTGAACTGCAGGCTGATGGATATGTTTCTGAAGCAGAATCAAACTGTTCCTCTGTCTCTGGTCTTCAAACACCCATGTTCATAAGGGTAACAAGAAGGCGGCAAATTGTAATTCCTTGTCAGCTAGAATCTCCAGCTAAGAACAGACAAAGCAGGAGAGTGTTTCCCAGTGAAGACAGCAAATGCCAGGATGATGATCTCTCTGAATCAGAATCATGCTCTTCTGCTGTTTCAGGAGTGCAAACCTCCAGTACTGCAAGAATGACTAGAAGCAGACAAGTCAAGGCCAATATATTGCCCGTGTGTGAAGCGCAAGCCGAAGAGGTATCTGATGCAGAATCATGGTGCTCAGGTGTTTCCACAGAACCTTCTGTTCAACTTAAAAGAATGACAAGGAGCATGCGACTGAGACTGCAAGCAGAAACAATATCACAGGGTGAAAGGAAAAGTGAAGTTGTGGCAGGAGATGAAAAGTTACCTCAACATGTAACTAAATCCCAGACAATAGTAATTTCTGATTCAGAACCCACAAAATCTGATTTTGATGAACAACAAGCATCCTGTCTCTCAGCTAAGAGTCATAAGCAGCTTAGCCCCTGTAAACCAAAGTACGATTCTGAATCTGTCATTGGGGGTGATCTAAAGCAGAGATTTTCAAGCAGCTCTAAGAAAACAGATCGGGAATCTACAAAAATAACGCCTGAAAAAGAGATGCGAGAGGGTAAGGATTGTGAAATTGTGGATCGTCAAGAGGAAAAGGGAGGAAAGAACAAAAACATAAGGGAATCAGCTAGAAAAATAAATGATGTTTATGAAATTGTGGACATCACTGAAGAAACATGTGATCAAACATCAGAAAAATCTAGAAAAGCAACTGAAAAATTGTCTCTGGTGAAGAGTACAGCCATATTGTCAAGGCAGACAACTCCTAGTAAAGGCAAATGCAATACAGAAACCCAAAATCCAGAAGAGATAATAGAAGTGGACAAGCTACATGAAAGAGGCAGCCCACAAAATATCACCCCATCACCGACTATTGAAAGCAGAGATGATGCCTGCAGGGTGTCTGTTGTTAGTATAGATAGTGATGGAAGCCAGGAGGAGCCAGTTGCTGAATCCTTTTCATGCGCAACCAAAAGAACAGAGGATGAGGGGTGTTCCACTATGTCAGTTTTTATCAGTGATGATAGCAGTGAATCTGACAGCAGTGATTTAGAAGAAACAAATGAAATGAAAATGACTGCTAGTTGTGCAGGTAGCAGTAAGCAAAATGGATTGGCCTTGGACACCTCAGACAGTGAAGTACTGTTTGTAATTGACAAAACTCCTGGCTTAGACTCTAGCAAAGCATACTATTTAGAAGAGAAGGACATAGGGAATGATGGGGAAGGAACAAAAAGCAAGACCTCCTTGGAGCTGGAAGAAGATGAAGAGGAATTTATTGATGAGGATGAAGGTTCATTGGATGTGTCTACTACGGCGTAAGTTCTTTCTTAGACTAACCTAGACATGGTTTCTGTATCCTGCTAGACATGTGAATTATTTGGCTAAAATTTGATCAGTTATCAGATTACGGGGGCAGGGCAGAAACTTTGGGACAAGGAAGGCCTAGAATAATGGAATAATGGGGTAGCTCTAATGATAAGAGAGATCTAGAGTTGGTGCCTAACATTAGTTGCCATACAGTAGGGGAAGAAATCACTGTGCAAAACCTTGAAGACCTAACCCAGGGATAATCAATTGGTGGCCTCAGTCTGATGCTCAGCGTAATATCAAACACATCATTATGCACTTCAGGGTCATTCTGAGAGTCTATATCTAGTCTGTGTCTTGAGGTGTGCCGTTGAGATAGATAGGAAGGTGCATTCCGCTAAGAGCACTGTTTTTCACATTGTATGGGAAGAATCTAAAGAGCATGTCCTGTCATTTCCTAAGGGGGAAGGAACAAGTGGAGCTAATGTTACTGGTCTTAAGCTCTTGCTTAGTCCTAAATATGGACTATATTAAAAATCAGTAGGGGCCTAGCATACACACCCTCCCTCCTCAAATTTGTGTGCATTTAAACATTATCTAAATAACCCTCCTCAAATTTGTGTGCATTTAAACAACATTATCTAAATGTGCTGGTAACAGTTGATTACAAGCATGTGTTGCTGTAGTTGTGGGCTGATATGTTTAAATAACCAGCTCTTTCTTTTCCAGCTTGTCGTTATCAAGCAGTATTGATCCTGGCCTAAATCTTAAAGACTTGGGAGGGTTATATATTAATTTTGATGCAGGAAAACAGCAGCCTGGCTCGCGTGGAATTGTGCCACTGAAGGAGAAAAAAAAAGATGAGGTAAACTACTCAGAGACTGCCATTGAACAAAATTTATGAGAAGCTGTAAGTTGCCCTGTTGTCTCAATAGCAAATGTATAAGGCATATTTAAAAGTAAAATTGTTATAACTAGGAATCAAAGTTCAATTTTGGTTCAGATTGATGGTATCCAACAGTGTAAAGCAGATTTATACTCATCAAAGTGTGCTGAAGTCAGTAGACTTAGAAGGGTGTAACTTTATTTAAGATTGCACTGTAAAACCCCAGAAGCAGCTCTGCTCTTACTACTTTAGACTTGTTTTCTGGCTGATGTTGTTTAATCATCTATTCAAGATTATTTTCTGGCAGGTGACACCACCTGCTGTGTCCCTTTGTTCAGCTAATCCTGTTGCTATTTTGGCATCTTGGAACATATGTGCCCTTTGTTCAGGGTGTTCTTTGTATTTAGGATGTCTTTGCTCAGTAGTGACCAATGTTCCCTCTAAGCTGTGGAGTCTTGTGAGCAAAAATTCTACTTTGTGAGCTACTGGCATTGATGTTGTGAGTGGGCAATTTTGCTACTCCATAAATTAGCTTGCTCTGGAGCCATCCTTCCTGAGCTAAGACAAAAATCTGTGAGCTGGAAGCTAAAAAACTGTGAGCTAGCTCACACCAACTCAGCTTAGAGGGAACACTGGTAGTGACCAGTATGCAAGTTTCTTGGCTTAGCACGTATCTGCCTGTGCTGAGCCACTCCAAACCAGTGGTGCACAACCACCCACATTCTGATGCATCAAAATGGTTGTCACTTGGGTTTTGAGTGGTCATACAGAGAGATACAGTTCTGCCATGCTATGAAGTCTGCTTTGAACTTTTAAACAGAACCAACAACTAAAGTCTATGAGTGGAAGTGATAAATGCAGTAGCAGTGGTTTTCATGAGAAAGATTTATATTGGTCATATTACTACTGCACAAATATTTCATTAAAGTTAGGGAATGCATATTAGCTGCGTTTTGAATAGATGTTCTCTTCTTGTACTCCATCTTGAGATTTTGCCTGTGTTTTTTGCTAGGGCTAGAACTCTACTCTCGCCCCACTATCAAAGCATTACCAGTCCTCCTTTAAATCACTTAAACCCACTTCCACCATGGGCTTACTTTATCTGAATCTTGTATTCTGTCTGTCTACATTATATACTACTCTTATCTTCTGTATTGTAGCTGTTTTCATTTCCGGCCTGGAATGCATATTAGCTGCGTTTTGAATAGTTGTTCTTATCTTCTGTATTGTAGCTGTTTTCATTTCCGGCCTCTTATTTCACTCCTGTCTGCTTTGCGTAAATTATAAGTCCTTGGGGTAAGGACAGTGTCACTTGCAAGCTGTAGTATTAAATTAATGTTAAATAGCCGCTTAAGAAATACAGAGTAAGCAGTGTTCATCCTATAAGAAAATTTCTTATGTACATGCACTAATCTTGATCTTAGGTTTATAAAGTGTACATTGCATTAGAAAAGCATTCCATGTACAGTACAATCCTAAGGAGAGTTAGATCCTTCTAAGTCCACTGAAGTTAATGGGTTTAGAAGGACATAACTGTGTTTGGGACTCCACTGTTAGCAGAAAATTTATACTGTCTTCATGTGTCTAGGTTTTGTAGTACCACATTTCCAAGCAAATTCATGCTACCTCTGTTGTCTTAAGTGAATTAAAACATTGTTAGTTTCATTTATAACAAATTGTCAGTTATTGAGATACCTTAATTCCTCAGTTACACTCTGTTTAGTACATTTATGAGCCCTTGATCTTTCCGCCTTTGGGAGAAGCGTTTCATATAGTTATCATTTCACAAACCCTGTTTGTTCTTAAAGCTTAAACTGTTGACAATTTAATGGTTTCTCCAAGTGCTAGAATTTGACCATTGTCTGTATAGCAGTGGGTAGTATTTATTTCAGTCTAATGAAAGATGTTTTCATATGTAGCTCTTGCAGAAGAGTACTATAACTCCAGACTTTGAAAAAAGGGAATGTGTTCCTCCCTTAACAGAATCAGTCTACCAACTAAAGAAACAACGTAGGGTAAGTAGCATGCTACTGAACAACACTGGTAATTTTCAAAGCTCTAAACATATGGTTTTCTTAAAATCTCTGTGCAGGCATGTGTGTGTTTCCCCATCAGTACATCTTTGAGTCTTGATCTGCCTCACAAGGTTGTAAGGATAAAACGGGGGGATGGCATCCTGAGAAAGTATGGAATAAAAAATATAAAATAAAATTCTAGGGAAACCTGGAAGAGGAAGGCGGAAATTAAAAAAGAAGAGGAGATTGGATTTATACTCCGCCCTTCACTGCCCAAAGGAGTCTCAGAGCGGCTTACAAACTCCTTTCCCTTCCCCTCCCCACAACAAACACCCTGTGAGGTAGGTGGGGCTGAGAGAGCTCTGACAGAAACTGCTCTTTTTCAAGGACAGCTGTGCCAGAACTATGGCTTGCCCAAGGCCACCCAGCAGCTGCAAGTGGAGGAGTGGGGAATCAAACCCGGTTCTCTTAGATTAGAGTCTGTGCACTTAACCACTACACCAAACTGGAGACTGGGTACAAAAATTGGATTTGAAGAAATTTGGAGGAGAGCATGTGTTCTATGCGATGGGAGGGATGCATGGGGAAGAGTAGACACTGATCTGATACTGTTATGTCAGTTCCTGAACTGCCATGGAAGCTGGCTAGGTGACTTTGGGCCAGTCATACACAGTCTAATCTACCTTACAGGGTTGTTGTGATGATAAAATGGAAGAGAGGAGAATGATGTATGCCATGATTGAGTCCCCTTTGGGGAGATAAGTGGGGCTGTAAATGAAGTAAATAAGCATATAAGCAAACACAGATTATTTATTTGTTTATTGGATTTCTGGACTGCTCAGGGCGGATTGCAGTATTTTGAGTGCAATTATGAGTGTGTTCAGCCTGTGTATATGTATTCTCTGTATAAATGATTTAAAAGTGAGTTTTTGTGTGTCTCGCTTTGAATGCGTATAATACAAAATTGATTATTATTTCAAAAAACTAATTTTTTAAACTTGTTTCTTGGTGCTTACATGTAGGCAGAGCGGGCAAAAACAACAGGTGATGGCTGGTTTGGTATGAAAGCCCCAGAAATAACCGAAGAACTGAAAAACGACCTTCAGGCTCTGAAGATGAGAGCAGCCATTGATCCTAAACGTTTTTATAAAAAGAATGATAGAGAAGGTCTCCCAAAATACTTCCAGGTAAGAAAGTGAAAAGACTGACCAAGAAAGTATTTGAAATTGTGTGCATGTTTGTGTCCTGCTTCAGTACTTCGATAATGTTATCTTACAAAGTTAAATATATTCTTGAATACATTCACTGATGCCTTAGATGAGGTTTTTCCTGTTTTATATTAGCTATGACTACTTTAAAAAAAATACATTTCAGTCAGTTAATTAATCCTAGTTATTGCATTTGCACACCATGCATCTTCTGCCCTTGAACTCTGAAATGCAATTGTGTTTGCCACATGATTGCTTCAAAAGGAAACAATTGGTTTCTGCTTCTCCAGGAACTCCAGAAAAGGGTCAAACTGTGTGTGGGCTCCCACCTGTGTGTGTGCCTTTTGAATTGTGGGTGATGGCTACACTACGGAGTATTATTTATTTAAACCCCTGCATGTCCCATGGCTCAAGGTGGCTTACATTACACAATTTAAAGTGTCAAATAACAATAAAGCCCCAATCTCCCGCACCCCAATAAAATGCCTGCTACTCAAAGCTCTGGTAGCCTTATGTCACCTCCTAAAAGTTTCCAAGGATTTTGCCTTCTTCGCCTCGTTGGGGAGCTTGTTCCACAAAGGGAGTAATCACAGAGAGAGCACAGGCCTTGTCAATGGCAGATGGGCCACCTTTAGTGAGGGAACACCTGAAAGGTGGCAGACCGGAAACCATAGCCAACCTGGACGTACAGGGAGAGATGGTCCTTCAGCTCTCTGGGTCCCAGGCCATGAATGTCTTTAAAGGTCATAATAAGCACCTCAAAATGAACTGTGAAATAAACTGGCAGCCAAATTCAAAGTAGGCAGGATATGTTCCTGATGGCCAGCCCCTAATGACAATCAGGCCACTGCATTCTGAAACAGCTTCAATTTCCAGGTTGTCTTTGAGGGCAGCCCCATGTAGAGCATGTTACAGTAACCCAAATGAAAAAGCATGGATTAGTAGGGAAGGGGAGAGGCTGGCGAGCCAGATGCAGCAGGTAGAAGGCATTCTTGGTCATCCCACCATATTTCTTGTCAGATAGCAAGGCTGGACCCATGAGTACCTTCAAGCTGTTCACTTGCTCTGCCACAAGTAGATCCCATTTCCTCTAAAATATAAGCCTACCTTGCCAGCATTGTCTCCGTCTTGTCTAAATTCAGCTTCAGGTTGTTCTGCATTATCCACAGCCTCAGAAAAGGTAATGAAATATAGAGCCAGGTGTCACCTATGATGATATCCAATCCCAAAGCTTCAGATGATGTCACTCAGCCGCCTCATGTAGAGCATAGGTAACAAAATGGAACCTTGAGACACCCTACAAGAAGTAGCCATCCCATTGATTCTGCTCCCCAGTGGAAACTCTGCATTCTAACCAGTCAAAAAAGAATGAAACCACCAAAGAGCACTTCTAGCACCAGCTCCATATGCCAGCTGATGAACAAGGATGGAGAGGTCAACTATATCAAAGGTTGCTCAAAGATATAACTGATTCCTGTCTCACTTGAAGCAGATTGTCCACTACTGTACCCAATAGGTCTTAAGAACAGGTCAAATAACTGCTTTCTTCAAAGAAGTAGGGAGAATCCCTCTGTCAAGAAGGGTGTTAATAATTGTAACCAGAAGTTCACAACTCCTTTCCCTGGCATGATATTAGAAGCCAGGGTACACATAGCCCGAGTGGTGGCACACAGGCACCCCTCACCCCCACCCCAGGACCCTGTCAACATCTGTCAGCAAGATCAATTGGAATTTATGCATAGCAAAAGAATACACAGGTGGATCCAACACCTCAGGTACAGTGGCATTCAAGTCGGAATGGATAGGAAGGATTTTATCAGCAAAGGTTCCTTGCACAAATATCACATTTGGAGCTGAACTAACATCACTGGCAGGTCACAAACCACTTTTTTAAAAATGGAACTGAATAGAATTCAGTTGATATAATGGCAGTGGAGAAAAAGCCTTCTTCACTGCAAATGGGCTGTATACCAGTTTATTTTGTATGCCTTTAGTGGTCTTTCTTGACATCATGCCATATTTTCAGCTTCACCACTCTATTCATTCTGGTAACTGTACCATAATCTGTTTACTGTTTTCTTAGTTGTTGTTGTTTTTTTATTTAAAAAAAGCTAAACCCATTGAAATTGCCATCATAATCAGGCTGACCTTGATTTTTCTTTTCTTAGGTTGGGACTGTTGTGGATTCTCCAGTAGACTTCTATCATGCCCGAATTCCCAAGAAAGAAAGGAAGAAAACTATTGTGGAAGAACTTCTGGCAGATGCTGAATTTAGAAGGTATTTACAGTTAATCTCACTAAACATATGGCCACATAAAAAAGAAACAAACTTGAAAGATCTTTGTCAGTGAGATACAGAGTACAGCAAGTGGAGCAAAACCTATGGAACAGAATTTTTCTGCCTTCCATTGTAGCACAATATTCTGTTCCTGGGGAGTCATAGACCTTCTCAAACAGCATGCAGGTGACATAGTGCTCTGCAGAGGGAAGCGGGCATAGGCAAATTCACCTTCTTCTGCCAGTAGAAGTGCTGTTCACTTGCCTTTTAGATACAGGCATGGATCTCCTTGTTTTTAGGGGGGAAATTATCCTCAATAGTATTTCAGGAAGCATAACAGAAATCTGTTTGCTGTACCAGATGCTCATGTTCTTAACTAGATAGAAACAGCAGCATTGACCCAGGGTCCATCTGGTTTCAAACAGTGGCCTATCAGGTGCTTCTTGGAAGTGCACAAGGAGAGCATGAAAGCAACAGCCTTCCTTTGATGTTTGTTCCCAAATCCCAACACCTGTACTCAAGGGCTCATTATTTCTGAATGTTGTGGTTCCACTTAATGTAATGGCAAATAGTCATTACAACTATTAAGTATGTTATGTTATGTTAGTTGCAGGAGACAGTTCAGTATGATGTTGTTTAATCTGTTAACCTATTTTGTGTATACAACTTGTTTTGTGCATCATACTGTACTTTACTCTCACCTTCCAATTACTTCTCTTTTTCAGATACAACAAAAGAAAGTATCAAGAAATCATAGCAGAAAAGGCAGCCCTTGCGGCTGGCAAGAAAAACAGGAAAAAGAAGAAGTTTCATAAATAAGATGGAACACTGCTTTGTGTAAATTTGCAAGTTATGGGTTAATATTTATCACATAAGAAACAGGACACAGCAAACCTATTTTGGCAACAATTTTTGTTATTACCTTTGTGTTCATTTTGGAAATGAAATGAAGATCTTTCAGTATCAGTAAACACACTGTGTTTCAAACTTTAGAGGAAACAAATGCTATTGTATAAAATCAAGAGTTCTGGAAACCTGTGGGTCAACTGTGCAAAGTGGCCCTTTTATTTAACCTACAATCTGTAAATCTTTGGGCTTTTTTCATAGATGTGTAGCAAAATAGTCTCTTAAAATATCTGTAAAAATTCCTAAGTCAGGTGAGTTAATTTACACTTAATTGTGTTAAAGAAAATATTGTAAAACCAGAAATGTATACCCTGGGGGAAAATGCCATCTTGTGATGTATTAAAAAAAATCTGCACATGTGAACAGCAGTTATAATCAATAACTGGAGGGTTTATACAATGTATTTTTGCAATGTAAAACTACATACTTTATAAAGGTATTTAAATGTATAGTGTCCATTTTTAAAATATCTGTAAACTCTTAAGTGTATATGGTACAATTCCTGTTCAATAGTATTACACCCCCTCTTTTAAAAGTTGCATCTTTTAAATTCACTGAGTTCTATCAAAGTTCTGTTCTAGTAATGGTGAAGCCAACTGAATTTAAGCAAAAAGATTTGATCATGGTAGTTTTGCTGCTGTTTCATTACACAGTGTAAGAGATAACTGTGGTAGCTTAAACCTAGATATTATTCTTAGCTATGTTGACACACAGAAAACAGCTGTACATAAAGAGCTCAGGGGAATACAGTATGACACTGGGGGTGACATTTCCCCTTTGAAACACTTATTGTGCCTTATCTGCAATGTTTGATTACCTTGTACCTCTATAGATCCTGATCAGAATCCCCTCTGAAAACATGTAAATGTACGCATTAGGCTTCCTCTAAGTATTCTGAAAAAAATGGGTATGACAACTTTATTCCTTAGCTATTCTGAAATGAAAGGATGAATTGCATGGAATTTCTACAGGAGAGTAAATTGCAGTCTGAAACATGAACCTTTTTGGGATACTGTGATATGGCTAGATGTCACTGTACAGTAATGCATCATGGAAATCTTCCTCATAATTCTGCACAGTCTGTTTTTCATTCTCTTAAGTACTGTGTTAAACTGGCAGTTTTACTTCTAAAAATTGTACTATTGTATTCATGCTGCAGTTGATGCTACATAATGTCAGCATTTGTCTTTATGAAAGACCTGGAACAGAGGTAAAGGTGGAAACACAATGAAGTAGCTAATATGCGTCAGCTCTTCGAATTAAAAATAGCCCACATATCTTTGACTAAACCCCAGTTTTCTTGCTGCCTTGTTGGAAAATACTGTGTTAGCCTGTAAGCTTGCTTGGAGAACATGTTGTTCTAGTGAAACTTCAGAGTATTATTCTTGCTTTTGATCATTTTCTCCCCAGTCTTGATCCTCTGTATTGTGAAACTTTACCTGCAGCTAGTGATCCTTGTACCAAAAACAAGACACAGCAATGGAGATGGGGAGGGGAATAAATAAATATGGAGTTAGGGAAAAGTGTACAGTGCTCAGTGGGGTTCCCTGGACAAACTATTTTTGATGTAATAATTGATAACTTTTAAGGGGGACGGACAGCTCTTGAAACACCAAAATTAAAGTCATTAAGTTAAATTAGTTGAAAGTCAACTGCTAACAAAACACCTCAATTTCTATGTATATTTGCTTTTTCCCGCTCTAAGAGGAGCCTAGGGTCATGTAGACTCAGGCAAGTGAGGTAGCAATTGACCAGCCAGCTTCCTTTTAAAAAAAAAAAATCAGGGATGAGAAGATGCTCTGACTAGGATAGGAGCCTAGCCTAATCTTAGAAGATACACAGGATTGGCAATGGTTACTATTTGTATGGGAGACCAGCAAGGAACACAAAGATTGTAACGCAGCAACAGCAAACCACTTCCCAACACAAGATCCCAAAGCATCCATGAGAATCCATGCTCCAGACCCATGTTTTGGTAGCATGGTGTCACCACAAAGCCGTGGATATGTGATTTCTGTGCTGCATTCTGTGGCCATGGACAAGGTATGTAATTTGATGGTGATGTTGGGGTGACCCAATGCAAAAATCATAAGGATCCATGAGGATCCGTGCTTTGGAACCATGTATTTGCAGAATGGTGTCGCCATGAAGCTGTGGATCCGTGATCTTTGTGGTATAACCTGTTTCCATGGACATGTTATGTAATTTGATGTTGCGTTTGGGGTGACCCAATGCAAAAACCCCAAGGATCTGTGAGGATCCGTGCTTCAGAACCATGTTGTGGCTTCATGGTGTTGCCACGAAGCCATGGATCCATTTTGTGGTGCGAGCCGTGCCATGCACATTTGATGGTGAGTTCATGGTGACCCAATGCAAAAACCTTGAGGAGCCACGAGGATCTGTGCTTCGGAACCATGTTTTTGCAACATGGTGTTGCCACGAAGCTGGGGACCCATGAATACTGTGGTGTAAGTAGTGGCCATGGACATGGTATACAATTTAATGGTATGTTTGGGGTGTCCCAACACAAAAACCACAAGCATCCATGAGGATCCATGCTCCAGAACCATGTTTTGGCAGCATGGTGTTGCCATGAAGCCGTGGACATGATTTCTGTGCTGCATTCTGTGGCCATGGACAAGGCATATTATTTGATGGTGATGTTAGGGTGACTCAATGCAAAAATCATGAGGATCCGTGCTTCAGAACCATGTTTTTGCAGCATGGTGTTGCCACAGAGCCGTGGCACCGTGATTTCTGTGGTGCAGGCTGTGACCATGGACATGAAATGGGATTTCATGGTATGTTTGTGGTGTCCCAACAGAAAAAAACAAAGCATCCATGAGGATCCGTGCTTCAGAATCATGTTTTTGCAGAATGGTGTCACCACAAAGCCGTGGATCTGTGATTTTTGTGGTGCAAGCTGTGGACGTGGATGTGTTATGTGATTTGATGGTTTGTTTGGAGTGACCCAATTGAAAAACCCTGAGGATCCATGCTTTGGAACCATGTTTTTGCAGTTTTGTGGTGCCACGAATTCGTGGGGGCATGATTTTTGGACTGCTGCCTATAGTCTAAGACATGGTCTGCAGTATGTTGGTGGTTTTATTTTGTTTCAGTATAAAAGTCATATGAATTCATGAGGATCCTTGCTTTGGAATCATGTGTTTGCGCTGTTGTGGTGCCACGAATCTGTGAATGCGTTATTTTTGTGGTGCCCCTTGTAGACTAACACATGACCTACAATATGATGGTGGTTTTATTTCGTTTCAATGTAAAAATCATATGAATTCATGAAGATCCACGTAGATCCGACGTTTACCTTTTTCCGACTGGGAAGGGGCGTGTGCGTGCGTGTGAACCGTTTATACGGCCAACTGTCTTCCGCGTGTGCTCTCGTGTCACGGAGACGGCAGGTTTCCATTCAAGGTTGGGCAGGCCGGGTGCGACGATAAGCAGGGCTGAGGCGAGACAAAAGGAGCAGAAGGAATAACGAGAGCCCCTTAGGGACGTCTCCGAAATCAGCGGCGCTGAGGTAATTAAATGTGGGGCGAGAACACGGAAGCGGCTAGAGGTGACGCTCCCGCCCTCGGATCCTCGGCGAAGAGGGACAGGAGGACGAAGGTCGGCGATCTGGAGGCCTCTCCCGCCCCCGGCTCAGACGAGTGTGTCCGTGTGAGGCGGCGCCCGACGCTTCTGCCTCGATCCGGCTCCGGAGAAATGCAGCCAAAGGGGGCCGCCTTCTCCTCGCCCCCCCGCCCCCGGTCGAGCGCCTTCCACCCTACGCCAAACGTGGCTGCCCACTCGTGAGGGGAAGGCAAAAAGCGATGTTGTAAGCGCGAAGGCCTGAGCTGGGCTCTGGGGCTTTCGGGAACGGTAGTTTTCGCACGGTCAGCAAATGTGTAGGGTGAAGTAGGAGTAAGGGGGTAAAAAAAGAAAAAAAACATGGAACACAGAAAAAAAATCTAGCTGCGACTCCGCCGGGACTCGAACCCGGAACCTTTGAATCCCTTCACCCTCTAGAAGTCCAATGCGCTATCCATTGCGCCACGGAGCCACCTGTTGGATTCTTTGTACATTGGCTATACAGCCTATAGCGAAAGACGTTACAGCGTGCTCGGTAGACGAGGGACGTTGGTTCTTAGCTTTTGTTGTTGTTGTTCAGTCGCACAGTCTTTGCGACCCCATGGACCAGATCACACCAGGCCTTTCTGTCTTCCCCGTCCTCTGAAGTTGGCTCAATTTCATGTTGTTTTATGCAAACACACACGGTTTTGGGGTTTTTTGCGTCGTCTTGTTATTTTTACAAATATCCCCGATGGAACTATTTAGTTAATTTGAAATCGATAGTGCTTGTCTAGGCTTTGTGACATTCTTAAAAAGTAATTATTTGGGAGCTTTCAAAATATGTATTTAAGATTTGCTATTATTACTAGTGATATAATTGCTTTTACTGTGGTTGCTCAATTTGCATAAAATAAAAAGATCACATAATGATATACCATATAATATTTAAAATGTGTAAAGTAATTTTCTTTGTATTTTGATAATTTGAATTATACTATTATTAAATTATTCTTTTTATGATAATAATTATTTGAGGACACTACTGCTTGCTTAAAGATCTTTTGTTAGTTTTCTTCTGTCTTTGAGCCAGTAACTCTCCAGATTAACAAGGAGTATACTTTTAAAAAATAATAAACGATCTTCTGTTGTTTTAAGAATATGTAACCTTTTTGGTTATACAGAAATATTTGGCAATGAAAATAGGGATAATATTTTTATACAGATGCTTTGAAATGTTATAGGCAGCTAATGGTCTGAAAGCTCCAGTTCAGTTACTTGATGTCAGTTCAATCATTTCATGCTTTAATTATATGTAAAACAGTAAAGTGCTGGCACTTAAAGATTAACGGATTTATTATGGCATAAACTTTCATAAACTAGAAGCCATGAAAAGATTTCATCTTCAAACAAAAAACGTTTGCCTGCTGCTTACCCCAAGAGACATTAGTCCAGGAAATTACCATTTTGATAATTTTCTATTCATTATTTTGGGGCCACTTCAAAATGTGCAAACCTTAAATGAGAAACTGCTGTCAGGAGTTTTTGTCAATCCTACGTCCAGAAGGTGCCTTTTGGTACTGATAGCTATATTTATTTATTTAAAATCTTTTTATGCTGCCTTTCCACCCAGTCAGGGTCCACAATGTGGGGATAAAAACATTAAAACAATTACAGTTAAAATATAACATGCAGTTAAAAACACATAAACAACAGTAGAAGGTGGGCCAATAGATAAAACAAAAAAAGTCTTCACCTGCTGGCAAAAAATACAGATAGGGGGAGACAAAAAAAAAATCTCTCGGAGACAGTCCCAAAGTTTCGATGCCACAGCAAAGAAGTCCCTCTCTCGGGTCACCAACTGTCAAGCTTCAGATGGCAGGACAGCTGGAGCAGGATCTCAGAGGATGACCTGAGTAAGCAGGTAGGTTCGTATGGAAGAAGGAGGGTTGCCAACTCCAGGGTCGGAAATACCTGGAGGTTTGAGGGTGGCGCCTGGGAGAGTGGCGTTTAGAGAGGGGGGAGGGTCCTTGGTAGGAATATAATACCATGCAGTACCTTCCAAAGCAGACATTTTCTCCCAGAGGAGTGGAATAAATTTTTTGAATGAGTAATAAATAAAGATGGGTAACCATGGTCAGTCTGTCTGTAGCAGTAGAAAAGAGCAAGAGTCCAGTGGCACCTTAAAGACTAACAAAATACGTGGCAGGGTATCAGCTTTCGTGAGTCACTGCTCACTTCTTCAGGTATCAGGCATCTGGAGAAGTGAGCTGTGACTCATGAAAACTCATACCCTGCCACATATTTTGTTAGT